ACAATAAATCAAAAAATTAGCCAGGCGTGGTAGCGCGCGCCTGTAGTTCCGCTACTCGGAAGGCTGAGGTGCAAGGATCGCCGGAGCCCAGCGGGTTGAGGCTGTGGTGGCCGGGAGCGGCCATTGCACTCCAGTCTGGGCGACAGAGTGAGACTCCAACTCAAACAAAAAAAAGTTTGTTTTTCTATTGCAAATGAAACTATTTTTTGCTAAGACAGGGTCTCACTCTGTCACCCAGGCTACAGAGCAGTGGTGTGATCACAGCCTCAAACTCCTGGCCTCAAGTGATCCTCTCACCTTAGCCTCCTGAGTAGCTGAAACTAGCTCGCCACCAGGCCCAGCTGATTTTAAAATTTTCTCTAGAGATAGGGGTCTCACTATGTTGCTCATGCGGCTCAACTCCTGGCCTCAAGCACTTCCCCCACCTTGGTTGGGTTCCTCAAGTACTGGTATTACAGGCCTGAGCCATCACACCCTGCCTGGAATTTTTTGAAGCTGTATTTTCCCAATTATCTTTCCTACTGTCTAATAATGCTGTGCGTTTTTGTATATAAACTTATACCCAGCAGTCTTGCTGGATTCTCATGTCAACAGCTGCATAGAACATCTGAAATTTCCGCTGGACAATCTGATTATCTGCAGATGGTTGTTATGTTTCTTCCTCTCCTCTTTATTTCTCTCCTGCTTTGCCGCATTGGCCAGGACCATCACACAAGGCTAGCGAGGAGTGGTGATAAAAGGATCTTTGTTCTGTTCCTGACTTTACTGTGAATGAGCACACCGGAAGATTCATGAAATGTTAACAATAAATTTCAGGGATAAATCTGATTAGGTCATGATATATTATAACTATGCTCTGAGGCACTTGATTTGCTAAGGTTTTACTCAGGAATTTCACGTCTATGTGCGTGACTGAGATTCGTCCACAAGTTTCCCTTCCGTACTGTGGCTGTCCAGTGTTGTTACCAGGGTTCGTGTGACAGGCATTATCAACTGTCTTCCCAGCAAACACGCCGAGCCTTGTCAGCAGACCACACCCTCTCGAACAGGGAGGAGACCCCTGAGCTGCTTTCTCTTTTCATGGGGAGGGGATCTTCTCTCTCATTAGCCAGAGCAAGACCACATCCAGCACAAGAGTGGCTGGAAAGATATTATATTTTACCACCCAAATTTATATTTTCTATTTGTCAAGCTATTTGTAGGCATCTCTTTTCTATTCCCCTGCCTTCCACGAACGGACTGAGTTTTCTTCGGGAAGTTATACACTGTCTTATGCTTCCTTTAGAGGTGACCTTTACATTTTGAACATGCATATTTGTCTTCAAAAAATCTAAAATCATTCAACATCTCTCTCCAACTGCTGAACAATCTCAGCACCTTAAAATGTTTTTTCACTATGATTACCACCCTGCTATCTTCTGTTGTCTGTTATTTTTTGTTTGCTTTGGGTTTTTTTTTTTTTAAGAAACAGGTTCTCCCTCTGTCCCCAGGACAGAGTGCAGAGGTACATGGTGCGATCACCTCCTGGGTTCAAGTGATCCTCCCGCCTCAGCCTCCCAAGTAGCTAGGACTACAGGATCACCCCAACATGTCCAGCTAATTTTTAAACTTCTTGTATAGAGTCTGTGTTGCCCAGACTGAACTCAAACTCCTGCCTCAAGTGATTCTCTCGCCTTGGCCTCCCAAAGTGCTGTGCTTACAGGCATGAGCCACTGTGCCCAGTCTCTTTTGTCCATTATTTAGATTCCACAAATACACCTCAAGTAGTCATTATTAGTGCTTTAAAGACATTCTATGTGCATCAGATCTGTCCAAGTGTTTACCAGTGTTTTTGTTTGTTATAATGTCTAGATAGCCATCACCTTCCTGGGCCCAGTTTCCTCCTTCTTGAAACATTGCCTTGGAGGAGGGGCACAGCTTATCAACAAGGGCACCTGCATAATGAACATTTGTAAACCTAACCCTGAATTGTACCCCACATCTTTAAAATTGAAAAAAACTTTAATTAAAAAAAAAAAGAAACACATCCTTTAGTAATTCTTTCAAAGTGGTCTCTGAATAGTGACCTCTCTCAGTCCGCGATTGTCAAAACCCATTTTCACACCCGATTCTCAGGCCCAACTCCCCGTTTGGGTGGGCTGAGCCCTAGCGGTCGGGCCGGCCCTGGGTGTGATGCCCCCTTCTGTAGCTTGAGCCAGGGGCCGCTTTCCATGCTGGCTTGAGTCCCCCTTTCTCTGGCCTGAGGACGTCCCTCTCTTTGCATTCAGCTTTACACCAATCTATTTCACCCTGCGTCTGTCATGGAAAGCGGGGAGGATCCCCATTAAGTTCCCTCTTTCTCATGTTTCTGACTCTCCTTTAAAATATCATATAAACAAGATATGATAAAGCAGACAGGACAGGGACAGCTGGGCACATCTAACTCTGCTTCAGGAAAAGTTACAGTTTCTAAATTTCCTTCTTATTTTGGTACCAGGGGAACGTTCCCCAGCAACAGCTTGGGGAAAGGCAACCATCTGAAAGAAATGAAATTTTCCACAGGTTTGTTTTCCTGCGTCTCCTGACTTCCCTCCATGCTGCAGAGGTAGTCTCAGAGGAGAAAGTGTTCAAACGCTTCGTGGCCCCAGACTAGGACTGTGAAGCAGCCTGAGAAGCTGTCTCTGCCAGGAGCCCTGTTGGGCCACCCTGTGCTCAGCTACACTGGTGGTTCAACAGCGGCTGCAGGCCGCTGCTTCAGCTCCTAGAGCTGAACAGATCACTCTTGCCTAAACCTGAGTCAGGAATCCCAGGACGTCACGGTGATTAAAGGTGAACGGATCCTCCTCACTTGATTTCATTTTGACTCAGGAGTCCCTGGTACTGCATCTCTGAACAGTTTGAAGTGCATCAGCTCGGCTGAGTTTGGTGGCTCGGCCTGTCATCCCAGCACTTTGGGAGGCTGAGGTGAGTGGATTGCCTGAGCCTGAGGGTTCAAGATCTGCCCGGGCAACTTGGCAAGACCTCATCTCTACCATAAATCAAAAACTAGCCGGGCATGATAGCGCGTGCCTGTAGTTCCGGCTTCTTGGAAGGCTGAGGCGGGAGATTGCTGGAGCCCAGCAGATCGACGCTGGGGTGGCCGTGAGGGTGCCACTGCACTCCAGCCTGGGTGACAGAGTGAGACTCAGACTCAAAACATAAATAAATAAATAAATAAATGCATCGGCTCAATGAGCCCAAACCCTTCTTGGTTGGATACCGGCCCGGGAGACTCCGTCTTCTGAGTCAAAGGAGGTCTCCCTCAAGAAGAAGTCGTCCGTGCCAGCCCGCTGGAAAGGGAACCAGTTTGAGACTGGAATTCAGGGACATCCTCTCAAAGATGGCCAGGCATACCAAGGCACTGAGCACAGATTCAGTGGATACAGCGGGGACTGTCCAGCTAGTGTGTGGAAAATGCTTTCTGAATAATCCCACATGGGCCAACAGGGGAGCCCAGGGTCTGGAGGAAAGTGCTCACGGAGAGGCTGGCACAGGACTTACTTGCTGGAGCAGACAGTAGATTTCAATAAAATATATTTCACACAGTATCTAACTACAAATATTCTGACCGAGAAGAGATCTAAACAGAAGAAGATGGACTGGATGGGGGTGGAGGATGGGAGCACATCAGATAAGCCCTAAGGCTGGGTGTGGTGGTTCGTTCCTGCAAACCTGGTACTTTGGGAGGCAAAGGTGGGAAGATTGCTCGAAGCCAGCTGTTCAAGACAAGCCTGGACAACACAGCAAGACTCCCGTCTCTACAAGCATTTTAAAAATTAGCCATGTGTGGTGGCATGTGCCTGTAGTTCCAGCCAGTAAGGAGGCCAAGATGGGAGGATCACTTGCGCCCAGGAGGTCGATGCTGCAGGGAGGTAGGATCGCACCACTGCACTCTGGCCTGGGCAACAGAGACCCTGTCTCTAAAATATACACATATATATGGGGTGTCCAAAAATATACACTTTTTTTTTAGTTGGCATCTCACTCTGCCGCCCAGGCTGGAGTGCAGTGGCACGCTCATGGCCACTGCAACCTCAACCAGCTGGCCTCAGGTGATCCTTCCGCCTCAGTCTTCCAAGTAGCTGGAATTCCAGGTGTGTACCACCACACCTGGCTAATGTTTTGATTTATCGTAGAGACGAGGTCTTGCCAAGTTGCCCAGGCTGGTCTTGAATCCCCGGACTCGCCTCCGCCTCCCAAAGTGCTGGCTAAATATACACCTTTTAAGAGATGCTATCCACATATTACTCCTTAAAGTTGAAATGAATTATGGGACGTTCGCATAACTGTGCTTCTGCTATTTTCTTGGACTGTCCTGCCTGTCCCACGGTGATGCCCCCGTCTGCTTGGTCAACACCACCTTTTGAGTGAACGTCAGACTTAAGATGAGTAGATCTTTTTTGGCGCCCCCTACAAACACAGACAATCAAGCGCTGAAAGACGGTAGAGTACAAAGCAGAAATGGCAGCCTGATCAGTGCCCTTTCGTAATGGCTGATGTGCACTCTGCTTCCAGAGTGGGCGTGACAGCCTCCACCCTGGGGAGGACGGGCCCACTGGAGCAACAGAGGGCCCTGTCACCAACCAGCACATGTGACTCTGGTCACAGGTGACTGTTCTGTCACTTCCCTTTGCGGACCCCTGAGCCGTGGCCAGGAGCAAATGGAGCTCTCTGGAGGTCAGGACCCAGAGGCGCCGCCCCCTGCAGCAGCGGTCTGGTCTGCGGTGGGGGCAGGTCACACGCTCCTGCGGCTGACACTGAACCAGGAGGGCCAGGACGGAGCCCTTCGTTCCCAAGGCCGGTCCTCTTAGCCTGTCCGCAGAGAGGCAGGGACGACAGCTGGAAGTTGCCCAGAACACGCAGCTGAGGACTATTCTGCAGGGGGCGGGGTCTGTTCCTGGAAGCCACAAGAGGCCGGCGTGACTTTGGCCTCTGTATTCCGACACGCAGGCCTCCGAGAACGTGGACCTGCAGGGGCTCACCTGTTGAGATAGACCCGCTTCTCCGTGAACTGCCCGCTGCCGTGGTGCGGGTCCTGGAAGGGCTGGTTCTGCACCACCTCCACGCCCTCGCCGTGGTCACTCTGCTCGTGGCTGTGCTTGCTGATCATGTACAGCTGCCCGATCTTGTACTGCAAAACACGAGGGGTGGGTCAGCCTCACGCCTGGACACCCCAAGAGCCCAGATGGACCCACACCCCTGCTGGGAGATGGAGGGGAGCTCCGCGGCTGGGAGAGACGGCGTGGGCCCCCCACAGCTCTTCCTCAGGCGCAGGGTGGCAGCAACAGGTGCAGCTGGCAGGTTCCCGGGAGCACCCTGGCTAGCACACAGGCTGGGGCTGCAGGGTTTGGCCACTGACCACTCTGGGGAGAGGGGCGATGGTGTCTCCCCACCAGGTCAGGGGGAGCTGCAGTCCTGGCAGCCTGGCCAGAGATGCCTGGGCCGTGCTGCCTCCACCCTGCCTAACTCGGGTGGTCAGGCGAGAGGATGGGGCTCCCCGGTTCCCCCATGCCCTTCCTGCTCAGCTCCCTGGAGGTCCCATCCCAGAACAGCAACTCCCATGGGAACTGGACAGGCAGAAGGGCTCCCTGGTTCTCCAAGCCCCTCCAGAGGTCCCTCCCTGGAACAGCAGCTCTCACAGGGGCTGGGCAGGAGGATGTCCACTCACTGTCCCCCCCTCTGCTGCCCCCTCTCTGGAGGCCTCTTCCTGGAACAGCAGCTCTCACCGGGGCTGGACAGGAAAGTCACCGGGAGGCTTCTCAGAGCTGCAGGTGCCCAGACCCTGCCGCGAGCCGGAGCCAAAGCCCAGAAGGCTGGCCATCCTGAGGACCTTGGCCGCTGCGTTGCCTCCTTTCCCTCCAGCCCCCCCAGCAGCATGGAGCCCTCCAGCCCCGGCAGCCCATACTCAGACGGTCATGTGGTCGCTTCCTGCTCTCTCTTCACATGCGGGCTGCCCCATCCTCCCTCCTGCTTCCCGGCAGGCCCTCTGCCCTTGGTGGACTTACCAGGGGGCAGAACCAACTTGAAGGCGTGGGGGTAACACGCCTTCAGAGGGACCCTGCAGAGGGACCTGTGTGGTCAGGTGGGAGACACGTGTTCTTAGGGCAGAGGACACTTGTGCTCAGGTCAGGGGCACACGTGTGCTCAGGGCGGAGGACACATGCTCAGGGCCTCAGTCCGTCTGTGGTTTGTCGCTACCACCTGTGCCCTGAGGTGGGGCCAGGCCGGGTGTGCAGCAGGTTGGTGGCCACTCTGTTCCCAGAAGACCCAGGCCTGCAGGGTCATAGGTGCCCAGTCCATGTGTGAGGGAGAGGATGCGTTTAAATATGGGCAGGTGAAATATACACGTCACCACAGTCGGTCCCACAGCAGAGGACAAGCGTCCTCCTGGGAGCTGGACAGGAGGAAATGTTCCAACCCGGGCCAGTCCTCCCCATATGTCCCGGGAGATTTGAAATGTGAGTGTCAGTGTGTGTGTGTTTAAGCATGTGTGTATGTGGGGGAGTAAATACATGTGTGAGTGTGTGTCTGAGCATGTGTGTATGTGAGTGAAGGTGAGTGTGAGTGTGTGAATGTAAGCATGCATGTATACAAATGTATGTTAGAGTGTGAGTATGTGTATGCATGTGTGCGAAGGTGTGCACACAGGGGAGAGCTCTCAGAAGCACAGTACAAGGACAGAGATGACAGACCTGGTAATCTGCCAGTGTACGAGTGTGTGTGTGTGTGTGCGCGCGCGCGCGCGCGCAAGACCCGTCCTCGCAGCCCCTGGAACAGCCGACTCCATTGGCCCCCTGGAGTTGGACCTCGGGCCTCCAGGACGTAAGGCCACAGACTCCGGCTGCTCAAGCCCCGAGTGGTCAGCCATCCCAAAGCTCACCCAGCAAGTGTGGGATTACTCCCGGGCACTGGGAGTGGGCCCGGGACAGTGGAGGCACAGCACAGTGGATGTACCAGACGCCGCTGAATCGGGCCTGTAAGTGGGTGATTGTGGGCCAGGCACGGTGGCTCAAGCCTGTCATTCCAGCACTTTGGGAGGCCGAGGCCAGAGGTCTGCTTGAGCTCAGGGGTTCAAGATCAGCCTGGGCAACTTGGTGAGACCTCGTCTCTACAACAAATCAAAAAACAAACCAGGCATGGTAGTACATGCCTGTAGTTCCAGCTACACGGAAGGCTGAGGCGGAAGGATCGCCGGAGCCCAGCGGGTTGAGGTTGCGGTGGCCGTGAGCATGTCACTGCACTCCAGCCTGGGTGACAAGAGTGAGACTCCGACTCAGAAATAAAAATAAAAATAAAGTGGGTGATTGTGAACTGAACACCACACGTTCTCACTCACAACCGGGCCCTGAGCACGGGTCCCACGAGCACAGGTGGGGTGGTTGACAGACGCTGGGCACTGCTGGGGAGGGAGGGGGGCACCTGGCATCACACAGGGTACGTGGCCCACCACCAGGGGAGAGAGGACCAGCCAGAGGCCCAAACTTCACCTGCAGGCAACCTGCTTAGGTAAATCCCCACCTGTTCCCCACAACCCTAAAATACAAAAAGATAAGAGCAAAGTGGGTGATTTTATGTCGTGTGAATTTCACTTTGGTCTTTTAATGCATCAGTGATGCTTCGGAAACTGACACCCCAGCTCAAGTCCCGCCCAGGGCTTCAGGGGCGCCGGCGGCTGCGCTGTTTCCATCCCCGGACCGTGGTCAGGCGCCTCAGCCCCTCACGCCCGAGAACCGTGTAGGGCTGAGGTAGAAGCGTAACACACAACAGCTGCAAGCCAGACCCGGGTCGGCTGGCCGGGTGAGTGCTGGGAGCGGCCACGGCCGCCAGTTTCTGGCAGGGCAGGACCACCTCATTGATCACGCCAGCGTTTCCAGGACCAGTCGGCGGGAGCAGACACCAGTGTGATCTCATAGGACATCATCGGTGCGGGGGTGACCACAGACATGTGTGGTGGACACTCAAGCCAGACCCTGGAAGACCAGGTCCGCTGTTCTGGCTGTTGCCTAGTTGGGGGCTGGGGGAGGGAACCACCTGTTTCATAATCACCAGAGCCTCCTAAAATGCCGAAACTCAGGCCACCCCAGAGTTCCCGTTTCGATTCCGGGGCGGGGACGGCATCCCACCCCAACGCCCACTAGGGCAGAGATGCCGGACAGGTGCGAAGAAGGCACTCGCTAACACATGCTCAGAACAGATGATACATGTGAGAGGCCTGTTTCTTCTCTTTCATGCTGATTTCCCGCAAAGCTCTGTCCCTAATTTAGCGAAACTACCATGCCCCATCATCAAGTCCAAACAAAACCCCAAGGCACAGAAGGGCTCGAGGCTTCCAAGGCCTGAGAACTGACCGTGGAGCTGGTGAGGACGAGGGGGCGGAGAAGAAGGAGAAGCAGACAGCAACGCTTAGCTGGCTGCTGTGGGTGCCAGGCACCGACCACGGTTGTACACGTCTAGCCTCACCATGTCCAGCGGGGGGCTGACGGAGGGGGGCGCTGAGCTCGGAGGGCCAAAGCCCCCACACCACAAAGCATCTGGAGGACAGAGCTGGATCTGAGCACACAGGCCTGCACCCAATCACGCCGCCCCGCTGGCCCGCCTTCTCCACCAGGCGTCAGCCCAACAAACCTCAGCTTCACTGTGCTGGGGGGGCGAGTGGGGGTATGAAGCCACCCTCTGCCCTTGGCGGTTTGGGAAGATGAGTAACACATCTGATTGAAAGGTCCAGGATGTTTAATCTGCGCCCACAGAGGGAACGAAAAAGCAATTAGGCTCCACCTTGCAAAGTCTGTTACAACCTCACATTTGAGAGGCATCTGCACTGGCAACACGGCTGGGGCCAGCTGTGCGCTGCAGGTTGAACCCCAAATCATTATCTCCACGGTCAAGAAATGTCCCGGGACCATGATCTGCCCACATCCCGCGCAGTCTGCTGGAGCCGCAGACTTGAGGCAGGGTGGGGTCGCCAAGAGCTGGCTTAGTCCCACAGCTTGGTCTGTTGACACCTCTGCAGACTCTCGGACAGGGCACCGCTGATGGCTGAATGCAGCTGAACCTTGAACCCAATGTTAGAAAACTCTATAAAACCCAAGCCTAAACTTCTAGTACAAGGGAGTGGCAGGGTTGTTAGCTGAGACCGACAACACCTGCCGCAGCGATCCTGCCCGAAGACGTTTCTGGCCCCACATCTCAGGCACAACCGAGTCCTGGCCGTGACGGACGTCCAGGGAACGCAGTCCTGGCTGCCGGCCCCCCACGAATCTGCGCTGAGGAGCCCAGAGATGCCCAAGGCCCCCGGGACCCTGGCCTGAGGAACTCGAGTCCTCTTCCGGTGGACTCGTTTCCCACCACCCGACCCCCCACCCTCTCCTTCTCTCTCGGTTAGTCCCAACACCATCTTGAAACATCATGGCGTCGCGAGTGGGGCCACCACTTGGCAGTACGGGTGGCCAAGACTGGGCGGGTTGTCCCTTGAGGAGATGGCTGGGGTCCTCAAGGCCCCAGGCCAAGAACCCCTTTACATCTACGTTGGCCTTTACCACCAAGACAGACGGATGCCGCCTAACCCAACAGGCAGAGCAGTGCTGCCCTCTGCCCCCTGCCTCACGTGAGATCCTGTCTTTCTCCATCCTGGAAGGCATCTGGGGCCCGTCTCACCCCTCTGTGTGGACAGAGGAGGGGCGAGGGTGGAATCTGTTCCCATCACCATTCGTGCCTCTGGAAACCCTCCTCCAGCCTTCTCCACGCCCAGAGAAGTGATGGCTTCACAAGGCACAAACAGGCACCCAGGATGGCGCAGAGGGCGCCCAGTGGTGTCAGAACCATGGTCACAGGACAGGGGAGGCGGGGAGCCCAGCTTCTGACAACCTCATCTCAGAAACCTGGAGGCCAGCACCGGCTGTCCCCTGTAATTCCACAGCACAGTGATGGCCTTGGGACAGATGTTTGGTCTTGGCCAACTGCATGGGCTGGTGCCTGTTTTTAAATGAAGTTTTACTGGAACACATGCTCACTCATTCTGTGGTTGCATCCGTGCCACAAGGCAGGATTGCGTCACTGTGATGAGACTGTGTGGCCCCCACAGCTGTAAATATTGACTCTCTGCCCCTTTACAGAAACATTTTGCTGAC